GGACTTAAGTCTCAATTGACATATATATACTTTCTGATTCTACCAGAATCCAACCAGAATGTAGCCGGAATCTCGCAGAATTACATCAGAATTGGACCAGAATATGCCAGTTCGTAGAGAGGATCTAAATGTGCACTGATATCTGTATACATTCTGATTCTACCAGAATCCAACCAGAATGTAGCCGGAATCTGGGAGAAGTGCGGGGGAATTGCACGTGAAGCTACCAGTTAGTAGAGAATATCAAATGTGCACTGATATCTGTATACTTTCTGAATCTACGAGAATCTGACAGTAATTGCACCAGAATCTGCCAGTTCGTAGAGACAATCTATGCAGAGTGACGTATATCTATGTAGAGTTACACTGCTACAGACTTAGGTTCTCTCTATGAACTGGCAGATTCTGGTGCAATTCTGCAATAATTCTGGGAGATTCAATTCTGGTCAGATTCTCGTAGAAAAGGAAAGTATACAGGTATCAGTGCACATTTAGATCCTCTCTACGAATTGGCAGATTCTGGTTAGATGCTGGTAGAATCACATCAGAATTGCACCAGAATCTGCCAGTTCGTAGAGAGAACCTAAGTGTGTAATAATGTAACTCTACATAGATATATGTAACACTGTATAGATTCTCTCTACGAATCGGCAGATTCTGGTGCAATTCTGCTGTGATTCTGCCAGAATCTGGTGCAATTCTGGTAGAATTAGATGTACAATTATAATGTCTGATTCTGCCAGAATCTAACCAGAATTGGACCAGATTCTGGTAGAATCACAGCAGAATTGCACCAGAATCTGACAATTCGCAAGGCGTGTCGCAGTGTGATAGAGAGTATGGAGAGAATTCTAGCAGAATTTGACCAAATTCTGGACAGTATCTTGGTTACAATATAGGGTTGAATCTGCGGTATAATTCTGCAGTGCTGGAGAATTCTGCAGGAATTTCCACGGAACTGTGGAACTTGACACTGCTGGAGATATGAACTAGACCACTGACATGTAATAATTTTTCATGAGAATATGCAGCCAAGTCTTGGTTATCGATTGCTGGGAATGTAGAATCTCTGTCTTCTTTCATTCAGAAAACAATCACAGACATTCTATCTTGAAATGAATAATGATTGTCTGTTAGTTCTATCTTTCAATACTATTAAATTTTTTATTTTTATTATTTTCTGTTTAATCTAGGACATCATAATCTCTATCAATCTATCAAAAGATTGACAATCTTTTCATATTATTTTATTTAAACTTGATGCTATTAATTTAAACCCATTCAAACACGGACGAGGATTTTTCTGGGCACGATTTGTCAATTTCCGTGCCCAAAACAACCGTTTGGTTTATTTGGGCACGGTTTTCCTTTCTGAAGCTCGAGAATGCTGCATTCCATTCGTTTGTAAGCTGTGTGCCACAACGTCCATGGCACGGGTCGCTAATTACTCTTTCTGTCTTCTATATTCTTACAGTCATATAGTAAAAATGCTGTTATTGATAAAATGATTGGCGACTGAGCAAATGCTTGTCGCATGGTCACATGCATCAGCCAAACGCGGTTTTCTAACCTTACCCACTCTCAACCATTCTCACGAGAAGGATGCTCATAAATTGATCCAAACTTTGGACAAAGGTCGATTGTTGTACTGATATGGCCATACATATGTGGCTCCCTCCTCATCTTTGGCTTCAACAACTGGACACGTTGCCGTGGCAAATGTTTGATGCTTTTTCCACTTGGATGTACGCTGCCAGACTCGTCTCAATGCCCATGATATGTTCATGCAAACAAAACTTGAAACTGTACGCCTGCAAACAAGCATTGGGACTCATGATGCATTTTGGCTGTTACACAGTGTCAGATCTCTCACGATTACAAGATTTAGGGAAACGACAAAGAGGACGCCCAAAGAAAGTGAAAACAGTACTGGGTCACTATAGTGTAAATATATTTACATAAAAAGAAGTAAAAAAGAAGACAACATTTAAAATATTGTCTTCTTTCTGAATAAATTCAAAAGAAATTAGTAATACAGTTTCTGCTGTGACGTTGTGACATACAGCTTACAAGCGAATGGAATGCAGCATTCTCGAGCTTCAGAAAGGAAAACCGTGCCCAAATAAACCAAACGGTTGTTTTGGGCACGGAAATTGGCAAACCGTGCCCAGAAAAATCCTCGTCCGTGTTTGAATGGGTTTAAATTAATAGCATCAAGTTTAAATAAAATAATATGAAAAGATTGTCAATCTTTTGATAGATTGATAGAGAAGCCTAAGTTCTACATTTATCCCTTCCAGTGAAATCGCTAAAATTGATTGAGAGGGATCGATTTTACTAGTGAAACTTTTATCGTGGACAGCTCTTTTCCTTACTTTGTTCGTTACGCTTTAGGCACTGGAGAACTGGAGCAATTTTAATCCACGTATCTCCGCATGTCATAAATTTTTCACTGCTTGACGATCCTTTTCCCGTGATTAGTGGACGGTAGCGTTTCTGAACAGCACCTTATCACCTAGTCCTTGCACAACACAGCAAACACGAGATCAGTATTTCGTGATGAGATTTGTCCAATACCTCGCTTTGTTACGGTGTGATTTTGAGCAACATGCGCTATCTTTACGTGATTTCCGTCATATGCTGAACCATATATGCAGGTGCATAGTTTAATCATTCCGACATTACCGTAGCCTCGCACGGAAAACGACTGTTCATCGATCATTGAGACATCGATATCTTTGTTAGATCAGGATATTGCAACCTGAAATTTTGTGAGCTAACTTATATCGATGACGCCGCTACATGGTCAAAAATCTCGGTCAAATGAGTGAGATCGACTTTTCGGCGGCCCCTATTGCCCTGTTATGAGATACCGGCAGTGATTTCTGTTTTCTACAATTTCGCGCGGTAAAGGTTTTCCTTTGGGTGGTCTGATTCTATGTAGTATAAATTTAACATGTTAAAATTAGAAGAAGCCGATTTTTTGAACAATCTTGAATTACCAGAACTTTCTGCAATAATTGCATCCAAGCTTAAAGAAGGTATGAACTCATCAGTGAATTGCACAAAATCACTCTATGATTTTTGTTTCTTTCTCGTATTATAGGTGTGGTAGGAGCAATGTTAGTCTCATTGGTGGAATCGACCGTGGTTTTTATTTAATGAGAGGGACGGATCTAGAACGACAACGAAAATTCTGATTAATCATTTATAAACTCGTCGAAAAATATCAAATACCAGTCACTACTCGTACCATTTCTGAATTGGTAAATATGCTTTAGCAAACTGGTTTTTTTCGTGCCTTCATTGAGCGTCTTAGGTTTAATCAGAGAAGTTTGTCTGAAAGTTGCTGAGCCGATAACTTCTTTTAAGCTTGGTACAGCATTCTCAGCTTGTAGTTGAAGTTTTTTTCTGCAGTACGAGATTCAAACAAGCTCTCTGCATGATTATAAATTGTCTAAGAGTCCTTTCTGCCTGAGTGTGAAATTTAACTGTTGTTATGTAATCATTATTTTTATTTTCCTAGAAAATATTTCGAAAATTGCTGGCCGAAAAAATGCGACATCGGCGTTATTATATCAAAAAAAAATCCAAATATAAATAGTTTCAATTTTAATATTTCAGTCTCTGGCTTTTCTATTATAAAATCTGCACCACCACCTGAAGTTACAGTTAATTTTGAAGAGGAACACGATAAGATGATCAAGTGTCTCGAAGACGGAATCATCAACGGCGAAACAAGATTAGCATTAATGTCGACTTTTGATAATCGTCGAGATCTGGTGAAAAAATATCGATCATCTAAAAGATCATTTGAAGAAATGTTTCTGTATTTCAAATACTTTAGTGACAAAACTATGGTACGATAAGCTTCCTACCAAAAGGCTGTATAAAGTGCTCAAGAGAAGTCGAATAATAGGTCGTGCACGTATCGGCTCAGTTCATCGAAAACACTTTGTGCATTCATTCTTCATTTAGATTGTTATGGAATTTGAACTAATCCCAAAAAAATGAATGCTGATCAAATTGAAACAAAAATTACAGCGTTTTTAAATCGTTTAGCTGATTTTTTCGGAAAAGATGCATCAACTGAAGTAAGATTCAGAAGTCTTAGAGGAGTACATAATCTATGAAATTTTTCTTTTATTCATATTTCAGTTGGCAAAAATGATACTTTTGGATCAGGCCTCCATCTTAATTAAATCAAGACGATTTCTGATTTATAAAAAGGTTTGCTACTTCCGCTCCACTCCGAAGGCAAATAAGTACCACAGAAGGGAAATTAGAGTGAACTAAAGCCATTGCTTACCTCAGGAACCACATGGAAAAACAGAAAAAAGTTTAAAGAATACCTTGCATGAAAAAGAATTCAAATTTCAATTTATGCTACCTAGAAACTGAAACATTATTGGACACTCTGTCTCGTACTGCTTTGAGAAACCAATCTGTTTGAAAAGCAAAACACAAGGTTTTATCTGAGAAGAATGCCGACTGACGAGGGAACGTTCTCAGGTGTCGGATTCCGATTTCCTTCGTTCATATGCCGATCGATAGGTCATATGGAGATATGAAAAAGCCT